AACTCCATGCTCAAACTTGCCCACCTTTTAGATCTTGCCAACTTCCATATCACTTTCTTTGTCCCCTCCAACATTCACGCTCGCCTTCTGGCTCTCACCGACGTCGACTCCGGCCGTTTCACCACCCGTTTCCGCCTCCAGAGCTTCCCTCCCGGAATCTATGACGGCGCTCTCAATTCAAAGGAAGTATTTGTAGAGCTCTGTGACTCCCTGCGCAGAATAGGGAAGCCATTCTTGAAGCAATATATAGCCCAGAATCGCGATTCCGGCCTGCCCTTCACCTGCTTCATCTCGGATTTACTGGTTAGCATCGCCTTAGATGTTAGTGAAGAATGTTTCAATCTTCCGGTTTACTATTTTCGTCCTATCAGCGCCTGCGCCTTCTGGACTTACTTCTCCTTGCCGGATCTCTTTGAAGCCGGCGAGCTACCCATCAAAGGTTTGTTCTTCCTATCTTCTATCTTGAATAAAACTTAGGGTGTGTTTGGTTCGCACATAGGAATCGGAATCGGAATGGGTATCAAATATTTGGTAATGGTAATGGGTTTTGATAAAAGTATTTAACATGTTTGGTAGTAGGGTGGAATGAGAATGATTAGTATTAGTAGTGCTCGAGAATGAAACCCTTATTGTATTTGGGTATGGGTTTTTCAATTGATAGGGTATTCGAAACCCATAGTAGTGTTCTAAAAATTCATCAACCAAACAACAACAATCACTTTCATACGCATTCCTATGTGCAAAACCCACCAACCAAACACACCCTTAATAGTTCTACTTACTAGCAAACAATGATTGATTATTTCTATCATGCGAGTTCATATAAAAGTGTCTATATCAAAAACGTGTGAGGAGTAAAAATTTGGAGTATACCAAGTATATTTTAAAACTTAAAATCACTAGGAATCTATTCATCACAAGTAATAGTAGCGAAAGCTTTAAAATGATCTGTTTGATTGGATTTAAAATTATAAAAAATACTGAGTATAAACACATATATGTCCACATGCACATTATATGTGGACCATGGTCCTGTGGTCCATAAAGCATTGTGAACCATGGTCTAAAACGGCGTCGTTTCTTTTAATGAAAAGAAATGACACCCGTCAGCGCCGTTCCGCGTAAAGTAACTCTGTTTGTATAACATATTCAGTTTCATTTTATATACACTGCAGTTTCATTTCAACACAACTACAGTATCATTTTGATATAACTATAGTTTCATTCGATAATATACATTCAAATATGTGAAACTGTTATTCAGTTTCATTTTATATACACTATAGTTTTATTACAACACGACTATAGTATCATTTTAATATAACTACAGCTTCATTGGACAATATGCACTCAAATATTGAAACTGTTATTCGGTTTCATTTTATATACACTACAATTTCATTGGAAAATATGCACTCAAATATGTGAAACTGTTATTCAGTTTCATTTTATATACACTACAGTTTTATTTTAACACAACTACAGTTTCATTTTGATATAACAACAGTTTTATTCGACATTATACACTCAAATATGTGAAACTGTTATTCAGTTTCATTTTATATACACTATAGTTTCATTACAACACAACTACAGTATTATTCGATATAACTACAGTTTCATTAGATAGACAATATACACTCAAATATGTGAAACTGTTATTCATTTTCATTTTATATACATTGTAGTTTCATTTCAACACAACTACAGTTTCATTTCAATTCAATTACAATTTCATTTGATAATATAAAAACAATATGTGAGACAATTTCATTTTAGATACACTGTAGTTTCATTTCGTAATTAACACATACAAAATACATGCTTCATTAAGATGTAACGGCAGTCATTTCTTTACTTAACGAAATGACGTCGTTTTTAGACCATATAGCCCACGATATAACGACGGATAATAATGATAATAAACGTAAGAATAAATTACAAGGACAAAATAGTAATTGTCAACTCATTTTTTGTTCCTAAGTTTCATAGAAAGAATAAACTATTTTTCCCTCACAAGGAAAAAGTTTTGAAAAATTTTTATGCACTATAATTCAAGTGGCCAAAGAATGATGCTGTAATTGAATTGCAACTACATCATACCAAACAGCTCCTTAGTGTTGCCTTTGGAATAATGGACCTGCAAAGAAAATTATTTGTTTTGTTTACAACTTACTTCTCTTCTGAATATTAGATAGTGTATTGAATTCTGTGTAAGGAGTATGAGAGGATAATTTTGCATAGAAGTTTACATATCATCATTATAAGCGGATAACCAATTTAAATCAACATGAATATCTAATTTACCTTATTTGATTAATTCACTTATTGACTCAATATTCAAATAATATATAGCATATTATACTAAACGGAAAATTGCTACATTTATTCACTGCACCCATAAATATATATCTTCTCTCGCCATTGACACCATATATCCACCATGAAATGCAGGGAATGGAATAGACTCATCACCAATAACAAAGGTTAAGGGAATGGAAGATTTTCTGAGGGTTAGAGATCTTTCTCCTTTTTGCAGAGATGAAGACCTGGCAGTTCTTTACTATACTGAAGCCCGGCTTGCCGTTCAAGCTCGAGGACTCATACTCAACACCTTCGAAGACCTGGAGGGACCAATACTATCCCAAATCAGAACCAAATATCCAAACGTTTACACAATCGGACCACTCCATGCACATCTCAAGGCCACCCTAGCTTCCAAATCCACCCACTCAAACAGCCTTTTGCAAGAAGATGAGACCTGCATGGCGTGGCTAGACTCACAAGAACCAAAATCAGTGATCTACGTGAGCTTTGGAAGCATTTCTGTGATTACCAGGCAGCAATTGATGGAGTTCTGGTATGGTCTGGTTAACAGTGGGAAGAAATTCTTGTGGGTTATGAGGTCTGATTTGGTTGCAGGGAAAGATGATGAGGAAAGCCCAATTCCTTCAGAGCTAGAAGAGGGCACAAAAGCAAATGGGTATATTGTAGGTTGGGCCCCACAAGAGGCGGTCCTGGACCATCCAGCCGTCGGAGGGTTTTTAACGCATTCTGGATGGAACTCCACACTGGAGAGTATAGTGGCTGGTGTGCCTATGATTTGCTGGCCGTTATTTGCAGATCAACAGACGAATAGTCGGTTTGTCGGAGAGGTTTGGAAGCTGGGATTGGACATGAAAGATGTGTGTGATAGAAGCAGTGTGGAGAAGTTAATCAGAGAATTGATGGAGAAGAGGAAAGGTGAATTCTTGGAGAGGGCTGAAAATATGGCTAAGTTAGGTAAACAAGCTATCAGTGAAGGTGGATCATCTTACTGCAATTTTGATTGTCTGATTCAAGATATCATTAAGGTGAATGAAGCTACGAGGAAACCTCAGTAAAATGTCCTAGCTAGAATTTTGTTCTATGCATTTTCAATCTCACCTGTACCTGCTTCAGTGGTCCACATTGGTAATGGCTGTTAGCTATTTGGGTTAGCTAATAGTTAATAGCAGTTTGTTTTAGCTGATTGTATTGACCGATTATAGAAAAATGTTTGGTAAATTAGCTGTTTATTATTGGTTGATTGCATGTATAAAATGACATTTAAGAGCATGGATGCATTATGTTGTTTTAAGCTTTAAATATACATTTAAAAATAATTTACATTTATAAATTGTTGTTATTATTATCACTTACTTTTTGTTTTATTAAGAATAACATAATAATAATCCATTCAATAAAGAATTGGAATTAAAATTCCTAAACAATTTAGTTTCCATGCTACTTATCATTGTTGAAAAGATTGAAAGAAGTGAATTAAAGAACTGCTTCTGTGTAAGATAATCATCTCATGTGTTCACAACATTAACATACAACACATTTGTAAAAGTTCACAGGTTATCACAAGCAGTAACAGATAGCAAAGAAGTACCAAAATTTCATTTTTGCAGACTTATAAGTATCTGAGCTTCTATCACATGAATGGATATCTTCCATCATTAATTCATTATTATATATGTGGTTCAGTTCAGGCACTGTGTATATTCTGCCAGATCAGAGGTGCAGAGTGCAAAAGAAAAGAGATGCTGAGAAAACAAATGCTCAAAATCCATAATAATTTTACGAAAAGCAGATCCAATCATCGAAACATATTAATAAACAAAGTTTACATGAGTCAAGAAAGCACACTGCAATGATATGACAAATTTGGCAATGAGAATATCAAGGGTATATAAATCTGCAAAGAAATTAGCCAAACCAAGATTCCATTTGTTTGAAGGCCAATAACTACATATTTAAGACCTTTTAGGGCAGACAGGAATGTTTGTTGCCTATATGTATCTGCATAAGACAATGCAAATCACCGGTGTTGCAGAGCATAATTTTCATTTGTTCATTGCTAGCTTGGTGCAAGTAATCCTACTTCATGTCAAACAAGCATCTTCATCTCGAAGTGATTTTTATCAACCCCTCACCCGATATCTGCTCGGGTAATAAAATTCCTACCCCATATCTGCTCCCGCAGGGATTTTGCGAGTGCGGGTAATACCTAGCCCACAACTCTAATTATTAATATTACACTTAAATCTAATAAAAATTTTATACTACAATTCTAATTATCACATGAATTTTTTTATAAGTTTAAACATAACTCTAAAATTTAATAATATATTTTAAAACCCGTAGAGACCGGGATGCGGGGAACCCATTGGGTATGGGTAAAATTGACATCCCTAATATATTGGGTCCATGAACTTTATATTCATAATTATAGAATTATATATTTCATAATTATAAAGTTATATATTCATAATTTTTTAGCTCCATACTCACAATTATTAAATCTCTATATTCATAATTACAAAATTATACGTTCATAATTATGTTCACAACTCTATGTTCATAATTATAGAACCATATGTTCATAATTTTGAATTATATATTCATTATTATATTTTAGAACCGTGTCCGCCTTGCCATTCTCCCGACATTGGGCTTTGGTATAAATAGATTTTACAATTCAATTCTCTGACAGACAGAGAAGGGCGAAAGAAATCGGAGATGACTCGGAGCATCAGCTACATCACAGCTTCTCAGCTCCTCTCTCTCAAACGTCGCCCAAATATTGCCATCGTCGATGTCAGGTACGCAATATCGCTTCTATATTTGCCTAAATCTCTGTAAAAATCCTGTCTTTTTTCTACCAATTTAGCTATGAGTTTAGCATCTGCCCTGCGATTCTTTTGCAGGGATGATGAAAGGAGTTGCGATGGTCACATAGCTGGGTCGCTGCACTTTGCTAGCGACACATTTCTTGACAAATTGCCCAGTCTTGTTCAATCTGTCAAAGGCAAAGACACCCTTGTGTTCCACTGTGCTCTTAGCCAGGTGAAGATTACTAATCTTTAATACCCTACTTCTGATTTTTCAGCATTTTGACTTTTTTTTCTATCTCTTTTGGCAATATTGATCCTTCAACTTTATGCTGGTTTATTTGAATATGCTTTCTTTGTTCTTGATGTGCACTTGTATTCAAGGTGATTGGGCGTACTTTTGAGATCAAAATCCGATAAGCTATAGCAAAGATATAGGGATAGGCATTATTTTATGCATTTGATGCAGGAAAAAAGGGCAGCAAACCCTATCTCAGTATAGACCACCTAAATTAGGGCATGGAATCATTAAGAGCAATTTATGTTCAAACTTTCAAATATCGAATGGTGAACCCACCAAGTTTGTCTCAATACGATCACCCAACTCCCAAGGTTATGAATTTTTTAAGAGCTCTAAGCTCGTCATTATGAGTATATATGTCATTAGAATGGGCAGTTTTGGTGTACCAATGTGAGTCTTACCATGACATTGTTCTGACCATAAGGATGGGTATCCACCGTGAATTTTCCACCTATTGGGCTTTATGCTCGTCCCCCCTTGTAGCCTTGCCAAATCAATAACTAATCTTTTACTTAGTCCCTTTGTTAACGTATTAGCTAAGATCTTCTTAGATCTTCCGTACTTTATAGTGTGTATCAATGTAGAAAAGTAGATGGAGTTGTATGCCCCCACAAAGGCATCACTTGTCAGTAAATTTCTCAATTTCTTAGCCTCTTACTCAGCTAGGTCCAAGGAAACCCACAAAGTGTAATTCCTAATACATGTTACCCTTAAGATACCGTAAGCAAAACTTTAGAATATTCCAATGCTCTTAATTAGGATTATGGGTATACTTAATTTATTCACTTCATACGCTTACATCTAGCCAAGTGTAGTTTGTTTATTAGGAATATAAAACTTCCTAAATAATTCAAGTACACTTTTCTTGAGAAATGCTGTTCCCAAACTTCCTAAAAATGGATTTTCCAACTAGGCTCCATATGACCAGAAAATGTAATTGTTAAACCTTGCAATAAATCCAAACATTTAATTTAAGATACTTGTAAAATCAAGAGTAGGAGACATATCAATGTTGTCAACATAATTATGTGGGTAAATAAATACGTAAAAATTTTCCATATCAATATTTAAAATTTCAAGCTTGATGTTTTAAGTCTTAAGGTTAACTTTAAAACCTCAACTCATAAAAGTTTCAAGATTTATAGAGTATTTTACATATTTTTGCTAACTAACATTTAACAAGAGCTTATTTCATACCATTAACTCAAGGCATGCTGAAGAACTCATCAAACTTGACTTGCATGATTACCAAGCTCATCACATAACCCCCACAATTCTCACAGTGGCCAAATCACTTTGATAGCCAAGGTTATGGTTTCTCCTTGGGATTTAAATTCTTCCGGGTAGGCTGCATGTATTCAGTATTCACCATGTTGAACCAATCTGTTATTCATGTCTTGTTCTGAATTGGTCTCCATGTAAGCTAGGCCTGTTAGTCCCAAATATCAATTCAGAACAACACAGGAATAACATATTGGTTCAACCCAATCAAGACACTTTTTTGCTCTAGTTTTTCCCCTTAGGACCACAGAGCTTGTGAGACATCTATGCCATAATTGTGATCTTGTTTAGGATAATAACCAATAGTTGAGGATTCTTTAATTTTTTCTATGGGGACTTTTATAGCAACAATTGAAGCACATAAAACATGACAACATATCAATGTCACTGAACCTGCACTTTTGAGTTTCAAAGTTTTTTTTTTTTTTTTTTTAATTTTATAAATATAATAGTAAGAGAAAATTTCACTTTTGGTCCTATGACTATTGGGGTATTGTTAATTGGGGCCCACGAGTTTAAAAAATGTCAATTTGACTCCATAACTATTCAATTTTTCTCAATTTCAATCCCTTTGGTCAAATTGCCAGCGAGAAGTACCTGGAAAATTTTAATGGGTAAAATGATGAGGGCAATTTAGTTTTTTGCTTCTTCTCTTTTCTTTCTTCTCCATTTCTTGCTCTGATTTGAACTGGAATGCGTTATCGGTGGTGGTGGATGTTGAAGGACTTGGTTTGTTGACGAGGGCGAAGCAGTTGGAGCTCATAGCAAAGCCGGATTGGTGGCGGATGGAGGAGAGTGGCGAGATGGAAGCGGCGGATGAAGGAGATGCAGAAATGTGGACAACGAAAACACTGATTAGTCATCCCTGTATGAATAATGATGGTGGGATTAGTTTTCAATCTGAATATGATATGCAACCTTCTTCGCTTGCTGTCCCTCGCCGCTTCCCTCTCCGCCCCGGAAATTATAGAAGAATCTATCAAAATGTAGCAACTTTTTCGTGCTTTTCCAAAGTTTCCTTGCTCTTTGCTATTGGGAGCTTCCGCAGTTTGGCCTTCGAGACCTGATGATGATTTTCATATCTAAAGGTTCAAGTAGCTCCAGATCATTTCTGATTATTGTTTGTATGATATTTCGTAGCATTTTTTAATTTTCTTATGATACAGTTGTAGCAGTGATGAAGTCTATGATTGCATCGGTGTTGAAAAGTTTGAACAAACATTGCATTTTCAGTTACCCTAGAAATTCTCCAATTTGTTTTTGAAGAAATGAAAATCTAGGCAAAGAAACTAGAAAACAGAGAATGGAAAATGGGAGAATTGAAATAATCAAAATTTCATCTATCGTGAACTTGAACATTCAATCTCCTGAGGCAGATCGAGTGAACAATCATGTGAAACAGATCAAATCTCTTGGGAGGTCCGTTGATCACGAAGTGCCTCTGCACTTTCTTAACTCGCCTGTGGATAGGGCTGTTAACGAACCGAACATAAACGAACGAAGGTTGTTCGTGTTCGTTTGTTAAGAATTTTGGGGTGTTCGTGTTCGTTTGTTAAGGTTTTTGAAAATCTTGTTCGTGTTCGTTTGTTAAGCGCAAGGTTATTAAGGCGGACTTTCTAGGCGAGATGCCACCGACTGCCTAGTCGACTAGGCGACCGCCTAGGCGATGAGTATTAAATAAATAAAAAGTATATATATATATTGAAAATATCTTGTCTTGGGCAGCCTTTTTGCTGGCCTATTTACTTGAAGTAGATGAATAGTTTTTCCTAGGATAGTGAGAAGTCAAGTATTTATTGTATATTGAAAATATCTTGTTTTGGGTAGCCTTTTTATAGCCCTATTTACTTCAAGTTGTCTTGCGAAGATGAATAGTTTTTCCTAGAGTGGTGAGAAGTCTAGTATTTATTGATAACATGCCAGAGTGAGTTAGTGGGCTTTGCTCGGAACAAGAGGACGACGCCGGAGCTTTAACTGCGCCGCCATCAGAGCTACCACGCGCCGGCGCGTGAGGCAGATTCCGGCGACTTCTCCGGCTGAAAATTACACCGGTCAACTCGCCTTAGTGTGTAGGTTCAGCCCATGTATGTTTTGTGGAGTTTTGGGTTGTAATCTGCACTTAGGCGAGGCGAGCACATTAGGCGTTCGGTCTCGACCGACCGGACGCCTAGGCGACGCCTTGATAACACTGGTTAAGCGTTCATTAGTGTTTGTTAGTGTTTGTTAACGTTCGCGAACACGTTCACGAACGTGTTCGTTAACGTTAACAAACACGTTCATGATCATGTTGGTTTACGTTCATGAGCACGTTCGTGAACCTTTAATAACCAAACACTTGCACATGTTCATGATCACAATTCGTTCGTGAACAAAAAATAATCTACGTTCATGTTCGTGAACATTATTAAACGAACACTAAACGAGCTTGTTCACGAGCATTATTAAACGAACACAAACGAGCTTGTTCACGATCTCTTAGCAAACGAGCATACAATTGTTCAAGCTCTGTTCGTTTATTAACCGAGCTTTAATTTTTGTTTGTTAATGGTTCGTTTACCTTAACAAACGAACATAAACGAACGCTTACCGAACACGAGTAGTTTGCCGAAAGCTCTGTTCACCAACACCCCTACCTGTGGATCCTCAGATACCGTCTCTGAGAAATCCCCATCATAATCTTCTCAAGTTCTCAATATCTTTAACATCCACCACCACCGAGAATGCTTTCCAGTTCAAATCAGAGCAAGAAATGGAGAAGATAGAAAAGAGAAGAAGTAAGGCTAAATTTCCCTCATCATTTACCCAATAGAATTTTTCAGCTACTTCTTGCCAGTAATTTGACTGGAGGGACTGAAATTGAGAAAAATTGAATAGTTGTGGAGTTAAATTGACAGTTTTTAAACTCACGGATAACAATATCCCAATAGTCATAGGACCAAAAGTGATTTTCTCTTATAATAAATAGAGAATATGTTACTAGCTTTCCAATCCTATGACCAATTCTTTGTGTTTGTGAAGATTTTGCTAGTGTTTGGTTGGTGCTACAATACAAAGAGGATATCAGGAGTATGATTTTATGGTCACTGGTGGCAGATACCTATGTACCAAATTGGATTTCCAATTGTATTGACTTCAATATATCTTTTGCCTTTATATTTGTTTCAAGAATATATACTGTAGGACTGTAGGTCAGAAGATTAAAATTTTAAAATTTCCACAAAATTGAGTGGATTGTGTGCTCTATATTCACTGGCTTCAGTTATTTTTCGTCATTGGCTGGTATTTGGCATTGCAGTCTTGTGCTTCCTTTGAATCCTTATCCTTTTCCAAATTAATCTCTAGTGTTTGAAATCTGGATTAAGAATTAATCCATTATTCAAAACTTTGTAGGTCCGGGGGCCAAAGTGCGCAAGAAGGTTAGCAGAATATCTTTCTGATGAAATGCAAGACGATGCAGGGATAAAAAACATTATGGTCTTGGAGCGTGGTTATAATGGCTGGGAAGCATCTGGTCGACCTGTTTGCCGCTGCACTGATGTGTTCTGCAAGCACAACAGTGAAGACGGGCAACAATCAAATCAAAGCTAACCTGGCAATATGGTGCTTTTACTGGTTCTTCTGTTTCTCTAAGTTCCAATTTAGACCCTATTTCTGGATCTCAGTCATGAGGAAATGACAGTGATTACAGACTGCTTTGTGATCTGTTTACCACAAGATAAACAAAAAGGGCAAGTAAATAGTAATGGCATTTATCATAATGTCCATGTTTAACATCCAGGGGACAACTAATAATTTGTGCTACTGAGTACTGAGTAGATTTGAAGTGCCTGTTTGTGAAAGTTCTGTTTTCAATGCCACACTTTGGTGATAAAGAATTTAATCACTTCCCATCTGCAACATGTTCTGAAAGGATTCAGAGAACTAAATCCTCAATGTAATTGCAAAAAAGATAGACTTAAACAACACATAGCTCCTCATCTCATCTTGCATCCTACTATGTCATAAACAAAATTCCCTCAGCTGATTTTTCTCATTAAGTTAAAAAGGAAAAGATTTTGTTTTTTTAAAAAGTCCTTCATATGATTGAGGGTGAGCCAAGGTAGTTGGGAATTTATTCATATCAAACTTTTTGTAAAATAGACAAAGTTTAAATAAAAAATGTTTAGAAAATATATTCTGTTTACTTTCGTTCTCTGTTTTTTATAAAGTGCAAATGCGGATAAGAATCAATGCAAGTATTTGTTACTGTTTAGCCGTGATTTCTAAATTTGAGAACATGTTTTTTAGTGTCTCTAATTTTTTCTAAAATGGAGAATTGTTCTCAACATTGAAAATTAAAAAATACCATAGTGATTCCTGAACTGAAATGACCTGTAATAACAGGTTATTTATCGGTTCTTGGGCTTCATTGCCTCAATTTGACATGTTTAAGGGTTTGATTGCACTTTTTAAAAGTTTAAGTGCCTAACTAACTTTTGGTGCAAAATTTAAGGACCTATTTGACCATTTTCCCATTTAAATAATCTAAAATCTTTTTTGATATTTTGAGCATCCTCCAATATATAGAGTGCAAATGAAAATTGAGAATTCATTTTAGCTATAAACTTTGGTGCAAGGAAAAAATATAGTGATAATTTGGTATTTATCTTATATTTTGAGTGTACATACTCTGCAATATTATAGCAAATTATTTTGTGGACCCAAGTCCACCTTGTAAAAAATACACAATTTTACATAGTGAATGTTCATAATTTTACATACTAAATATTTACAATTTACTTACTGAAATGTTTACAATTTGAATTGTAAACATTCAGTATATAAATTTGTATATTTTGAACCCGGATCCACCTCTCAAAGAAAGTGGACTTGGGTCCACGGTATAACTTTCCCAACATTACAAAGTGCATCCTGTGACACACACACACACACAATTGTATTATGGTTCCGTTTGGAATCTTGAAAAATATTTTACGAAAATGATTTCTAAAAAATGACTCATTTTTTTAGTTAATTTTCTGAAAATAAACATATTATTTGTTGTAATAATAATAATATGTGGTGATGGTGGTGATGCGGTGGTAGTAGTGGTGGTATGGTGCGGTGGTAGAGATGGTGGTAGTTGTGGTGGTGTTGGTGGTCTGGTAGTGGTGTGGTGGTGGAGATGGTGGTAGTTATGGTGGTGACGGCGATGGTGGTGGTGGTGGTGTCGGTGTTGGTGGTGATTGTGAATTTGTGGTTGTGGTGGTGATTGTGGTTAGACCTGGCAATTATGGACACGACCCGTTAACACGACACGAAAATAACGAGTTAGTGTTTAGCCTTAACATGTCCCGGGTCGTTAACGGGTTGACCTGTTAAGGACCCGTTATGTTTCGTTTCTTAACGGGTCAACCTGTTAAACCTATTAAGAACCCGTTTAACCCGTTAATATTATCGTGTTAACCCGTTTACACGAACCCATTTACACAAACCTATTTAGAACCCGCTAAGAACCATTGTCATGAATGAGATTACAAAAGATATCATGAACATGAGTACATGACTAAGGATGAATTTACTACATTAGGCTAAAATCCTACACCAATTATTGATGCTCAACAATATGAAGTTTGAATTTTTATTGTGTTCAATTTTATTCTTGATAGTACTAATTCACCCGGATATCGGTTGTATGTACTAAATATAAAATATATGTATGAACAAGAGGAAGAACACAAGAAAATAGCTCAAATTCCCTTTTCATTAATGTTGTGCTTGTATGTCAATCTAGAGAGAAGGAGGAGGATAATGGCTTATAAAGAGAGAGAGGGCCGAAAGATGGCCAAATGGCCCCCCTGCCACAAAGGGCTTTAGGCCCTTTTATAGGCCTAAGGTGGTGTGTTTGACCCATCTCGGGTTTGACCCGTCACCTTTGACCCTGACCCGTAGGTCAAAAACTCGAACCGCGAGACCTCGACCCGACCGCACACGGACCCAGGGTATATAACTTATCAATTCTAAAACTAGCATGGACTTCTTTAATTATGATTTTTTGATGTTATTTTATCATTTTATGAATGTTATAAATTGAATATTTTTTTAGTTTGTTTGATGGATTTAATTGTAGATTTTATTTGTTTTATATATAACTTAACTTTAAATTTTTTTTTTTTAATATATTAATAGGTTTAGTAGGTTTAAATGTGTTTCGTGTCCTATCGTGTCGACACGACCCGAAACCTATTAACAAAATGTATCTATCGTGTCAACCCGTTAACAAATCGTGTTCATGTACGTGTTACAAATTTAAACCCGTTAACCTTATCGTGTCGTGTTCGTATTTAGCCTTATCGTGTTCGTGTCATTATCGTGTAGGCCCGTTAACGAACCCGTATACACGAATTTCCAGTACTAATTGTGGTGCTGGAAATAATAATAATTCAGAAACTAACTTAAAAAAATAAGAGAGTGAAGAGAGATAGAAAAATATAGAATCTAGAAAATGTCTTCACTAGAAAACTCAGAAGATATTTTTCGCCAAATTAGACATATTTTCCGTTGACCAAAATGAATATTTTTCTTTGACTTCATTTTCCTTGAATACCCAAACACGGTAAAATTTAGAAAATTACTTCCGAAAGTCATTTTCTGAGTTTTCAAATAGACCCAAATACAATTTACTAATCATTGAATGCACTTGTGTAGTTCTACTAAGATGTACTTTTAGAGTCGTAGAGTTTGAATGCACTTGTACATGTCATTGCGTGCAAGTATATGTTTGCATAGATCATTGAATACCAGGGGCGGAGCTACAGTGGGAGCAGTTTCCCCCACTCACCCCACCCCCAGCCAATATATAAGCTTTATATATATATATATTTTTTGTACATGATTAAGTATAAGGAAATAGATAATTGTTACTAAACGATGTGATAGATCTTGGCAAGGTAGTTTTTTTTACTGCTTTTCTTTCCACTATGTGGTTTCAACCATGCTTTTTATGCTTTTCTTTTCACTATTATTAATAGTGTAAAATATTAATAATGAGCCTATTGTTTGCGATTGAGATCGGAGGCGGTGGTGGGGTGCTCGACTTCATGTTTATTCTCCTCGTCGACAGCGGCAGTTGGAAGTAGAGCAAGCTGGCAACTTCCGGCGATGGCGGCTGACCAGCGTTGGCGGTAGTGAAACTTGGCAGTGGCGCGACTGGACCTCTCCTCCGGCCTTCCTCTTTCGTCGTCGAATGAATGACTGGTTTGGTTATTCAATTAAACTGTTAAAATGGCTGCCACATCTACAAAACAAAACACGTCTCTGCCAAATCACCTCAACATCACCAAGTTATTACTTATAACTTGAAGGCTACCTGTAAAAAAAGGCTAGGCGAGCAAATTTTTTTAATTTGTGCATCGAATCATCACTTATAAAAGGTCAGGATGTGACATAACATATCGCAATTGGTTCATGGTACGATCTACTTAAAAAAAAAAAAAAAAAAAAAAAAAAAAAAAAAACTCTTATTCCTTTTTTACTTGGGAGAATTGGAGAAATATTTAAAAAAGGAAAAAAAAAAAAAAAAAAAGTAAAACTTGCTCCAAAGTCCAAAAGTCGGTCATCTTCGCATATAGGCGAGAGTCGTCGACCCAGACACCCAGGCAAGCCACGGAGAATCCGGATTCTTTCTGAAGCGAAAATGGTAATTCTTCGAACTTCGAACTCTCATCTCCAAATTCAACTTATTGATTCAACTCTGATTCTCAATTTCACGAAAATTAGGTCTGCTTGGCATGTCTGTTACCGCTCTTCCTTGTTCCAATTGTCAACCTTTTGCCCCTTCTCTTCGATTTCTTCATGGTAAAAGCTCCACACGCATCTTTCTACATATGGCTTTCAAAATTTATTGTTGGGGTTTCAAGATCAAGGCTTGGAATTGTTGGGTTTTTGTTTAAATCCTACTTTTTTGTGATTTTTTTTTCAGGCAAAGGTTTACAGATTATTTGGGAAGGAGTATCAAAAACCTGCAAGGGTTCCTCCTGCTTGTCCGTATAAACCATCGGCCACCAAACCCAATAATTCAGTAAGTAATATACACAATCACGTTTATGTATGTCTTCAATTAGCTGTTGGACCTTAATAAAAAGGTTTATTTTGATCAAATTTACTAAAAGTTTTTATGTGAAGTTATTGAAATTAGTTTACTTAGGGATATTCGTTTTGAATCCATTGGCGGCCGTCTTTTTGGTTTCTATTCGAAAACATGTTTTCAGAGCATTAAGTCTTTAAATTCTCAGTTATAATGATGAAATCTGCAAGCACAGGGAATCAGTTTGGCTTATGAATGATTCAAGGTTCCTGTTTGTTGAAAATAATATACAGATCTTTAATACTGAAGAATCAAATGCACAAACTCACAGTCACAGATCCTTTAATCTTTCTAGCAACAATAATCTTAAGTTGGTTTTGTTCATACATTCACACTTTTCCTGAACTTGGTGATCTCCTTGGCTTGTTTTGTCCCCCATTTTGACGCACTTATTACTGTATAATGGTAAAAGCCGTTATTGCTTCTTTCTGCTTCTCCTAGTAATCACTTGAAAGAACAGACACCAAATTTAAGGCTACATATCCATCCAATCGTTATATCGTGCACCAGGGCATGGACACAATGCATTGTGCGCCCTGGCCCAAAACGATATCGTTTTTATAAGTTGTGTGGGGAGTTACGCGACGGACACCGTTTCGTCCGGTCAATCCCGTTACAGTTTTTTTTTTTTTTTTTTTTTTTTTTTTTTTTTAACACTTGTGTTTTATATGTATTCTGTTAAGAGTTTATGTGTATTCTACTATACAATTCTGTACATCCGAAACAGAGAATTTTTTTTAGAAGTTAACGGCAGAAACGGGAAACGACGTCGTTTTGGCCAGGGTGCACAATGCATTGTGCGCCCTGGTGCACGATATAATTTGCCATATCCATCAATTCCATGTCATGTATCTTTGCGTTTGGGGCAATGATGCAGGTAGTGAGGTTCTAACTGAGGCTTGTCTATTGCTGGTTGAAAACTATTTCCAAACCCCCTCTATGGCTTGGGTTTACCCCAAGCCTTAGAGATTTTTTGGACGGGCTTTGTTCTTTGTCTTCTCTAAAAGTTCTACCAAAATAAAATAAAATCCATGTCATGCTAATATAATTAGATCAGTAAATAATCAAGGATCTCCTGCTTGTTTTATAGGTTTCAGAAGGACCTTCTCCTATAGACCAAGATCCTCACAGGCAGATATCGGCTGGAGGTGATGATGGCAAGCGTGAATGAAAGTTTTACCATTTTATGTGAAATTATATGATATATTTTCTTCTGTATGTTCATTTTCTATTGAACACAAGGGAAAAATAGGTGTAAAAAGACAAAGTAAGATTTGTGCAACATGATGTGTACTCTGTTAGTCTGAAAAAGCTACCTGATAACTTTGATTATAATAAGAATTGTACCCCAATCTTGAGTGAATTCATCTATCTTATTGTGGGATATGCTCACAAGAAGGCCAATTCTGCAAAGTGTTCTTAATTTTTCTTTGAATTAGTCAACTAGTTGAGTTATATTACAGAACTTATCACTTTGATTATAGTGAATAGGCTTTGTGTGTGGCATACCCTTTTTGCGCCTTAGCATTCACAACCTCCTCATTTTACAAGAAATCCAAGACTCCAGGAAAAATTCACAATCACTATCCAACCCTGTCTTGTGACTGAGTCGGTAAATGATCACAAGGAGGTAAACCAGCCTAGAATTCGAACTCGTGACTTTGTGGTTACAAGTTTATGTCTTTAGCTATCTTGACTGGTGTTTATAGTATCAACTTTTTGAGATCCAACATAATGTGGGTATGTCGTGGATGCTTAACACCCTCACTCTCTAGTCTGTACCTTGATCATGCTTATCCTGAGTAGATGAACTCTTCAAGACAAATACAGTAGGCACTGATGTTTTGCAAATGAAGAGCATTATCCCCAGCAAAGGACCCATCACTAGCAGTCTGACGAGTACCTAATGTTCTGAAAAAGTTGGATTATTGCCCAAGGTTGATTGTACCAGAATATATATGATCAATTATGAGTAGTGTACCCATGATTTTCAAAATAAACTAGTGTTGCATACTGACTATGGTGTCTCTTTCGTACTAAAATCACTTTTCTTTGGGGAGGGAGTTATCTATGCTAAGTAACCTGTTGGGCGGAGGCGGCAAGGCCAAGTCTAACACCCGGCGGAGGGAAGATTGTTGGGTGAAAACTGATAAAAGCACTAGGCGTTTTCAAATATATAACCACACTAAGTTTTGATTAATCCATTCGCAAGGCTCCAACTATAGAATTCGTTTAAAAGAAATATGTTTTTTTTTTTTTTCTCATTCAGACCACATGGGTTTGGTCTGATCTGGTGCAAGGCTTAATTTTAGCAATCATTATTATGTGGACCATACAAATAATGTACATTTATTACATAAATAATGTACTTTTAATATATTAAAAATGTATATTATATTTAGAAAAAATACATTATTTTGTATAATGTACATTCAGTATATAAATTATGTACTTTTAATATATTAAAAATGTACTTTTTGTTATAGTTCACATAACACTGTATAGACCATGGTCCGCACAATTTTAGTCTTTCTGAAATATAAAATATTACATGTACTTCATTTTTTCACTCCTAATTTTTTATTTTGATGTAAACACTTGTATTATGACCCACATGGGAAAAAAAAAATTTTTGGAAGTTCATGAGCAAGATGTAAATCATGGTTACTGAACTGCTCAATGAACTCCCCTTACTTTGAGATTGCTCCCACACTGCTGCTGGTGAGACTCGATCCCCGATCATTCTTCCAAACTTTCACCTCTATAACCACCAGTTGAGCTGCCCATGCAGGTTAAAATTGCTATTGCATGATTAAACTGTTGCCGGACTCCAGATTCCTAGATGTCGCATCTATGCAACTAGCAATATTGTTTAAGACTAATGCTATTAACAATTATATCATTCTTTCATATTTACAATTTAATTAGTTTTTTATCCCTTATATATCTTTGTCCTATTGTTTGTCTTTATGAAGCTACTCGGAAAAAAAAAGTGTGAACGGAAGAAATAATGGCGGTGGCTGAGACTAGCGGTTGGATGGCCGCCACGGGAAGCTTTAGCCTCCACGTCCTCCGCTCCCGGCTATTCATGGCATTCGCTTCACTGCTCATCCTATCCATGGCGGGTGCGAGTTATCTGTTCGGAATATACTCAGGGGAGATCAAATCCTCACTGGGCTACGACCAGACAACCTTAAACCTGCTAAGCTTCTTTAAGGATTTAGGCGGCAACCTAGCCATCATCTCAGGGCTAATCAACGAGGTCGCCCCCGTCTGGTTCGTCCTCTCCCTCGGCATAATCTTCAACTTCTTCGGCTACTTCATGATGTGGTTGGCCGTGTCGGGGCGCATCGCTAAGCCCAAGCTCTGGCAAATGTGTTTCTACCTATGCGCCGGAGCAAATTCTCAGTCGTTTGCTAACACCGGCGCGACGGTGACCTGCGTCAAGAATTTCCCGGAGGGCCGCGGGATCGTATTGGGCCATCTTAAAGGCGCGATTGGGCTGAGCGGCGCCGTCATCACGCAGCTCTACCACGCTTTCTACGGCGGAGATGATCCACGGTCTCTGATTCTCCTCATTGCCTGGCTTCCCGTGGTTGTCACCTTTGTTTTTCTCCGAAATATTAGGATCATGAACCCGGTTCCTCAAGAAAACCACCTTAAATTCTTCCACAATCTCCTCTTTTTGTCGCTTGGCCTCGCCGGGTTTCTCATGGTTATAATCATTCTCCAGCAGAAACTCAGCTTCAGCAAATTTGGGTATGCTATAAGTGCTACTATAGTACTACTTTTGGTGTTTTCTCCGATTGTTCTTGTGGTTAGAGGGGAATATAAAGTGTGGAGAAGCAAAGAAAAGGCTCCGGCGATTGAATTAGCAGAGCCTGGAGAGGCAGAAACAAAAACCCACCAAGAAAACTCGGATTCTTGGTTTAATAATGTGTTTAGGCCGCCGGAGAGAGGAGAAGACCATACGATCCTACAAGCGCTTTTTAGCGTCGACATGTTGGTTCTTTTCACGGCGACGACGTTTGGGGTCGGTGGGACGTTGACCGCCATTGATAACTTAGGGCAAATCGGTAAGGCCTTAGGGTATCCTTCTTCCAGCATAGCCACATTCGTGTCACTAGTGAGCATATGGAACTATTTAGGCCGGGTCTCCTCCGGCTTCGCCTCGGAGATCTTCTTGGCCAGGCACGGGTGTCCCCGCCCTCTCATGCTCGCCGGCGTTCTTCTCCTCTCCTGCCTCGGCCACGTCCTCATCGCCTTCGGCGTCCCCAACTCCCTCTACTTCTCCTCCATGCTAATGGGGTTCTGCTTCGGCGCGCAATGGCCGCTGATTTTAGCCATCATTTCTGAGCTCTTCGGGCTCAAGTACTACTCCACGCTGTATAATCTCGGCGCCGGAGCCAGCCCTGTGGGGCTGTATATACTGAACGTTAGAGTGGCGGGGCATTTGTATGACAAGGAAGCGGTGAGGCAAATGGCGGAGAAGGGGGTCACCAGGAAGGCCGGAGAGGACTTGACGTGCGTGGGCGTGGAGTGTTATAAACCGGCGTTTCTGATCATCACGGCGGCGACGTTTGTTGGGTGCTTGGTTTCGCTTGTTTTGGTGATGAGGACTCGGGAGTTTTACAGAGGTGATATATACAAAAGATTCAAAGAGGAAGCTAAAGATGAGTCTGCAGCTACTTAAGGCAAATATAAAATGCTGGATTATATTATTGTAATACTAAGCATTCATATTTCATATGCGTGTTACTCAAAGTGTACGTACACTTCCTTGGAAATTCTATATATGATTTTAATTTTAATAAAGAGAAAATCGCACTTTTCATTCATCAATTAGTGTCCTATTTGCAATGTTATCCTTATTTTTCAATTTGGACAGATTTGGTCCCTCAATTAGTCTTGTTCAATCGCCTCTTAGCCCAGTGCTCATGACACGCTACGGAACCTCCACCGTGCCAGACGTTAGTCAATTTAGTCCTTCTGTTTATTAGTTAATCATCCTAAACTCCGTTTACAACATGGGTATTATAGGAATTTCACTTAGCATTGATTATATCAACCTCATTTCTTCTCTTCCTCCACCCGATCTGCCATTTCCTCCAAAGATCAAGCTCCTTCTTCTGAGCCAATACAGCTCGACTATCGCCAACATACATAAACATCCTTTTCCCTGAGCCCATTGAAGATTTTGGCTTTTTAGCGAGGCATCATCTTCCAAGCTGCACTCGCTGCTCAGATTGACACTACTAATTGTTAACTCGTTCTGCTTCTTAGACCCAACGACCCAATCGGGTTCTTTGATTGAAACCAACCCTTTAATCGGAGCTACTATTGAGTTTTGCCCCTAGTTATGGTTTTAGAGATGGATTGTTGGAGAACTCAAATCAATTTCCCTTTTCGTGATCTAGATCGGAGCGCAAAACCTCCATGCGAGAAGCTCTGTTGGAACTGATAGGAAGAACCCTTCTTGAGAGGACTCAGGACCGGAAAAGATCCCCCGATCGAGGAGTCCCGACAAGTATCCCCACTCAATCTAACCGGACATGAAGTCACGCTCTATCGAACCAGAGCTGTGTATGAAGCCGGAGCCTGGCAGCGGGCCGGAGTGGATTGAGTTTCTGGGGATTGGTTGCAGAGGGATGGAAGCAAAGGAGGTGGAACTCTCGAAAGTAGAAGAGCGATCGATGCTATTGTACGAATAGATGTCGACGAAGGCGGTGGAGAGCGGCGTTGAGGTGTTCGCACTAACAGAGGCGCCGGATATTGACCGGAACGTTGTCGTTTCCTCCGAGTGAACGTTAGATGACGACAGCCGCGCCACTTCGGGAGCATAGCAGAAAGAATGATCCAAATAATCCAATGGGTCCGATATCACCACTTGGAAATCCTTTGGCCGCCGCGCTTCCATGGCGGCACCGCCGCCTGTGAAACAAACGCTCAGTTTACCAACACCGTTCCCCATATTATAAAAACAAAAACAAAACCTCCTAGTCCGAGGTTAATAACAAATCAAAGAAATGAAGTAACTTTCGATTATTTCTGTCAAAACCCACCAAAGCTCACATGCCCATATCTTTAAAAAAAATGGCGATATACTGATTTCCGAATTCCGAGTGTGAAGCTAAGATGAAGAAGGAGAAGAGGGAGAAGGGAGGGGGGAGGGGGTAGCGTTGACTTTTGAGTGGGGTCTTTTCTTTAATAAAAAAAATAAAAAATAAAAGCATAGCATAAACTTTTTATTTTTACAATTTCGGCTATGTGAAATTCCAATAATACTCATGGTCTAAATGGAGTTTAGGGTGATTAAATCACAGAAGGACTAAATTGATTACCGTCGCACTAATTAAGGGACTAAATCTGTCCAAATTGAAAAGTAAGGATAACATTGCAAATTGAGTACTAATTGAGAGGCCAAAAGTGCGATTTTTCCTTTAATAAATGATTTTGTATGCCCCTCATCTTGCTCACTCCTTTTTTTGAGTACTATTAACTCTTTTACAATGGCTCTGTTTAGCAGAGCTTATTTAGGAGCTTATAGCTTATTTTAAGCTACTAATAAGCTATAAGCTCTGTTTGGTAATGTTCCCAAAATAAGTTCCTAACTTAAAGTAAGAGCTTATTTTGGAACCCTACCTTAGGTAGCGTTTCAAAATAAGCTCCTAGCTTCCTAACTTTTTTTTTCATCTTTATCCTTATTATTTTAAAGAAATGACATAATTTACCCTTCTCAATTCAAATCCTTTTCTCTTCTCCTTTATCCGCAATTTTCACCACAAATATTATTATTATTATTATTATTATTATTATTATTATTATTATTTTGAGATTTGCAACAATATTGTTACTTCATTATGAGATGCTAGATCATGATTATGTTAATAGTTTTATTTCAAAATGTTAATTTTTTTAAAAGATAAAATGTTAAATTTTAATATGTAAACAAACTAATTTAAATTTTATGAAGATGTCCTTTTTAGTCTTTTTACATTTATCAGCTTATCAAAAAGCTAATTTTACCAAACACTTTCAACCATAACAACTAGTTTAACAGCTCTTCACTTTTCAGTTCCGAACTTATAGTTTTTCAACTTTCAGCTCATTTTCAGCTTTCAGCTCCTAGCTTATAGCTTTTCAGCTAGGTTTGCCAAACAGAGCCGTAGTATATAGCAAATCAATTGTTATATCATGGATCATGGTCCACCATGTATTGTTAGGTAAATTATACCATGGACCAAGGTCTATCTTACCTTGCGTTGTAGACCCTAGTCTAAAAATAACTTTCAGATTTTATATCTATAGTTGACACATTATGTACATGCACTTAATAGTTTATGTACATGTAGCTACCATATTATGTGCCAGCAATTATCAAGTCAGATTCTAGTTTTTGTACCTGTAGCTACCATATTATGTGTCAGCAATTATCAAATCAGATTCTGTATCTATAGTTGACACATTCTGTATATGCAGTTGATAGTTTCTGTACCTATAACTATCATATTATGTGTCAACAATTATCAAGTTATTATTTTTTTTTTTTGAAAAGATCAAGTTATTTGTTTACATGTACAGAAATTGTTAATTGTTGGTACAAAATATGTTAACTGAATGTACATAATTTTTATATAAAAGTTCACAATGCAATATGAACTTTGATCCATGGTATAACAATTGACATTGTTAATCCTGATCAAAAAATTAAGTGTCTACAATAAATTTATTATGTGTGTTCTGGTCCAACTCAGTGACCCATATTAATAAGTAAATAGGTCGAGTTAGTCCATTATAATATTTTTATTAAATTATTAAATGTTGGCAATTTATATCCTACACCACGGCGCGCGTTGCACTATGTGCCCAGATGCAAAACGATGTCGTTTTAATTTTTTTTTTTTTTTTTTTTTTTTGAAATTTCCCGCCCCAGTGAATGGCAGTAGTTCTTTCTTTAAAAAAAAATCGCTGTTCAAGAATGTACATAATGTTATACTAGAATACACATAATTGTATACATGAATGTACATAATTATATAACAAAATATACATACTCTTTTTAAAAGATAATACACATAATCTAACATAATACATAATAAACATAAACTTTTAACATAATACACATCAACTATTAACATAATACACACAAATTTTCTGATTCGGATGTACATAATTGTATAAAAAGAATGTACATAATTGTATAAAAAATGTACATAACTGTATGAACCAATACACATAACTGTATGAACCAATACACATAACTGTATGAACAAATACACATAACTGTGTGAACAAATACACATAATCCCAGCAACTTCCTACCGCGCCTCTCAAAACGACGTTGTTTTGGGAAGCGCGCGGCGCGCAGTGCTATGTGCGCCATGGTGTAGGGTATAACGATTGTTAAATGTTAATTCTATAAATTAATTTATATTATACAGGTAGGGCTTTATATTACTCCGTATAAAATTTATAATAAGTCTATTGATTTATATTAGTTTATTTTATTTAATTTCTTAAAGCTATTATAAAGAATTATTACATATCTATCTACAATCTACATACAATTCTAATAAGAGCCAATAATTATAAGTCCTTAACTGAAACAAAAAAATGTTGGGAGTATTGTTTTTTAAAATGAATGGTTCATATTATTTTGATTTTAGTATTTTTTTAATAATTTTTCTTATTTACCCTCTATTATATTATTTTCTTCCCTTAAATAACCTAAATTCCGTTAGTATAAACTTTAATAACGAAATATTCCGTTAACTATTTATTATTTTTAACTTACTTATTAAGAGTTGGCATAATTGTTAAACATATACTACGAATATGTTAAAATATATTTTTAAAAATATATAATATAAAATTTAACATAAACTTTGTTCAAATAATTAGTCCGGCTAAATACATAACATTCAAAGTTAAGCATCAAAGATTATAAATCAATAACTTTAAAAAATATTTGATTTTTATGCATTTTATAATAAATAAAAAAACAAATTTTGGTTAAGTTTTTTTTTTTTTTTTTTTTTTTTTTTTTTTTAACTAATCTTCTTTTTATGCAATAATGTTTTTATCGATTATCACACAAAAAAAATCAAAGTTTACAACACGTTATCAACACGAGTGCGGTAAATCCTTGTATGAAAATCACTTCGATTGCGTGATCTCATATCTTCTCCTTCCTATCAGCCCTCACAAACTTCATGAATGCTTTGTGCATTACTAGTTTTATTGGTCAAACAAATCAAAGTTTACCTAATAATTAATAACCCATTATCTAAATAGCTTCAAAAGAATTTAAGTACTTTTACATTTTTTTTTCATATTATACTAATATTTGTGTTTAAAAAAATATGACTAACTCAATATTTTTTTATTTTTTTTTTGTGACGATGAAAATTTATAATCATTATTTGAGGGTGTGTACTAGATAAATCATGCTTTATTGTAATAGTTTATAAACCACTTTGAAAAAATTATGTGTGACATGTTCGATTGAAAGTCTATATGTGTATATATATATATATATATATATATATATATATATATATATATATATATATATATTATATTTTGAGTGATGAAGAAATTGTGAATTATGAATTGTGAATTAAATAAATCTAACTTTATAACCTTAACCGATGAAGAATCATAAAAAAAATAAATTAATTTAAATAAAAAGAGTACTTTTGTTGAAGGTAAAACATGCAGAACTTGTGGATAAGTGTGGCGCATTATATTTCGGACAGCTTATCACATTAAACCTCCACGTAAG